TGGTATTGGATAGGAGGGAGGCAGAGGCAAAGAGGAAGGGGTACACCTGGTGAGTGGAATGGCATGAACAAGAGCACAGGTGCCAAAAAATGTACAAAAGACATGTTTTAGAGACCCTGAGGAAAGAAATTTGGCTGCAGTAGAGGGTCCAGGAGGGACTATTGCTACCGAAGCAGAAGCTCACATGGTGGGACCTGGGAATCTGCAAGTGATTTTGAGAGACACTAAAATTTGAGAATAAGTGATGGGGACAAAGAGTGGGAAATGAAGCTCTGAGAATTTACAGCATTTGGCCCACTCGAGAAGAGTCTTGAATGTCAAGCGAAGGAAGCTGAAATTTATCCCACAGGCCGTCAGGTATTACGCCTCAGAGGTGTTTGTCGGAAGCATCATGAATAACAGGGATTTGGGAATATTAATGTGGCAGGTGTGGATATTACAGACTGGCATGGAAAGAGACTAGGGGGTGGGGTGGAACGGGGTAGAGCCGGATGATTCCGAGGCTTCTAGAAGGCTTGTATAACAGAGGTCAGAAGAGCAAGTCGTCTTTGAGACATAATGAGATGAGTCTGTGAATGTCGAGTCTGACATGATAACCACCTATCCAAGGGGAAATATTCAGCAAGTAGCTGGAAATACAGATGTGAAATATAGGAGAGGGGTTAAGTCTGGGCTAGAGAAGTGGGACCGGCCAGGAGAGGGGTGAGAGAGAAGCCACGACACAGCTGTATGCCCTTGGCAGCTGAGGAAGTAGAAAGCAAGAGGAGCCGAAGAACACCCAGATTTAAAGGCTAGGAGGAGGAACCAGCAAAACAGAGAACAAAGGAGGGGTCACTGGGCTGGAAGGAGACACAGAGAGTACAACCAGGCAGAGAGCTCTTCAAGAACCCAGGGATGGCTAGCAGTGTGGCTAATGCCAAGGTGAAGTTGAGGCTCAGGAAAGGTCACTAGCTATGGCATGCATACAGAGAGACCTGCTCATCTCATGTTCTTCACCACAAACGGGGACAGTGGCTCCTACATATAACAGGGAGCCTCCTCCCTCTCCCTCTCTCTGTCTCTCTGTGTCCCTGTCTCTCCTCCTCCTCCTCCTTCTCTTAGTCCTCCTCCCCCTGCCCCCTTGTCAGACACACACTCTGATTTCCAAGCTCATTTTCTGACTGCCCAGGGGAGTAAGGTGCTAGCGTGCTACTGGGCTGTTTGGGCTGGTAACCTTCCTTTGTAAGGATAGTACCCTTAGAAAAGGGGATGCTGTGCCTGTCATGGGTAGGAAATAATACAGAGCCCTCAAGATCCCTGCCCTCTCCTTACCAGCTCAGCTGAGTTGGGGGGAGGGAGGGACTGGAAAGGAGGGAAGATGGTACGCTTCCCTCCGCCTCTGCCCCTAGCCCTTGGATTTCCCAGCAGAGCTGCAAGTTCCGGCCCATTTTGAGTCCTGCATTTTGGTTGCTGATAATGCAAGAGAATGTTTTTCTTTTTTGAATTTATGGTAAGAAGGAAAACAGAAGTCCTTGAGAGAAGAGCCAGAACGGTTTTCTGCTGCGAATGCTAATAGCCTTAAGGCTGGCCCACAGCTGAAGCTAACTTGGGTGTGGCTGCCTCCCAGGGGCCTGTCCAAGCTAAGGGTCTTCACCCACCATGGATGGGGACTGTCCCAGCTCCCCTAGAAATGCTTGCTAGGGCCTTGTGAAGGCATGAACCTCCATAAGCCAGGCTTGTCTGCATGAGCCTCACTTCCCACAATTTGCTCCAGGTGTGTGTGTGTGTGTGTGTGTGCGCGCGCGCGCGCGCACGTGTAATTTGTGTGTGTGTGTGTGTGTCTTTTATGGTTTCAGCTAGCCTAGAGGCTCCAAAAGAACGGGGATCCTTTTTCTATTGCACTGGTGCTACCTTCTCAGGGGGCCTTGTCTGGTGCTGACCGCGGAGCCCAATCATTTCTGCAGGGTGGGGGTGGGGGGGACACAGAGGGCTTCTGTTGTCCTGCATCTCCCCGTGCTGCCTGCAAGGGCTGAAGTGGGGACTACTGCAGTGGGGCGGTGCCAGGCCAATGCCTCTCCTCCGCCCATGCCACCCTGAGCCCTCCTGGACTCCCTGCCCGCCCCCCACGACCCGCCACACCCTGGGATTGCAACTGTCTCCCTCCCACTCCCACCCCCACGCCCCAGCTTGTTGCCGTGGTCAGCAATGCCAGGGTTTTCCTGTTGCACTTTTTCAACCCACTATTGCTCCCAGAGGACCTCACTGGTGGCAAAATACCCCGATCAGGCCACACAGCTCCCTTCCCAAGCCCCTGAGATTGTGCCACTCACCCGTGGGTGGGGACGGTGCCCCTGACTCATTCAAAATGGGGCCTGCAGCCTCCTAAGAGTCCCTAGCCCCCTCGTTCAAGGAGGCAGAAGCTCCATCGCACTGTCTGAAGCCAGAGCACCAACAGCATCGCTAGCTTGTGTTTAGGAGGGCACTTGCACGTTCAGCGTGCCCTGCTAGTCTGCAGGACACCTCAGATCCGGAAGATGCTCAGAGCCAAGAGCCTGTGGTTCCCACCACCCTACCCTGGCGGGCCTCCTCTCTCTGGTGGCCATCAGCCCTCACTTGCAAGGCAATTGTGGTGGTGGGTGTCGGTGGGAGAGAGGAGGCTCCCGCTGCACGCAGCAACGAGTGTTTCTGTCCCGCTTGGATCACATCCCCTCCCTTGCCAGAATCCTGCAGTGGCTCCCAATTGCCTCTCGCATCAATTTAAACCTTCTCTCTGTGGGCCTCAAAGCCGTCCATAATTGCATCCCACCTTCCCACATCCCCACTCCCACACACACATCACGCGTAACTCCGGGCCAGACGTAGACAGTAGATGACGCCGTCCACAAATGCTCCAGCCCGGGTCCTGCCACAGGTGCCTGACAGCCCACCAGTGGAGCCATTCCTCTGCCTCCTTTAGAAAATGCAAATGTTACCTGAGAGGTGAAGGCAGTAAAACACTGTCAGCTCTTAACACCTTGGCCGGGCAGGGATCCTGCCATCAGATTTGACCGGGCAGGGAGCAAAGCCCTGGCTGAGAGGTCTCGGGGTGGGGGAGGGGACCCAGAGGCGCGGGGAGCAGCCCACGGGCGGGGTGTTAGGGACGGGGCTCTGACGTCGAAGCCATCTCTGTCACGACTTTACCAAGGGCTAGAGTCTGACTTGGCGTCTCTACTTCAACCAGCCAAACCCGCTAATCCTCCCCCCACCAATCTTGCTGCCCCCTCCACACACGTTATGTCTTATTTCAACTCGGGGATACCCTCATGCCAAGCTGCTGAGGTTGAATCGCTTCTCTCGCGTGGAAAAAAAAAAAAGCCACGAAATTGGGTAGAAGCCGGCATGTCTGCTTGGGCATGGCCAAGTCTTGTTGAGGTCTCCCTGGGGAGAGCCGAGAGCCTTCTGCTCGGTGGAAATAGCAAGGGCTTCCTGGGAAGCCTCTCTCGGCTCCCAGGAAGCTGGGAACTGGATTCCCTGGCTTCTGCAGTGAGCTTGACAGGAAAGGAAGGGGAGGAGGAGCCAGGGTCTCCCAGCTCACCGAACTGCAGGCCAAAGTGTGCCTTTCACCCCCTGTCTTCCAGCAGGGAAAACTCACTTGGGGCTTCTCTCTGGGTCAGCACAGATTCCCCACCCTCCACCCCTGCGAGGGGCGCCCCCAAGGGAGCCTTGGTCTTATAGCAATTTCCCCAATGCGCACGAGTCCAGAGACTGCCCCACCCTCCGCGAGAGCTGCAGGATGCTGAGACCACCCGGTGGGCTCCAGCGCTCTGCAGCTGGACTAACATGCCCACAGGAGGGGGCAGGTCAAGCAGAATCCAGCATACACTGTGGCCAAGGGCTCTTGGGTGACACCTGCAAGGGTGGGGGTGCCACCTGCTCCTGGGGAAAGGTGTCAGGCATTTGCCCCTGCAGTGGTTTCAGTGTGTGTGTGTATGGGTGTATGGGTGTGTGCGTGTGTGCGCGCGCGCGCCCGTGCGCGCGCACGGGAGGCCCAGGAGCTCGGGTGTGGAAGGGCACGACTATCAGAGTTGGGAAACGCTTTTTCCCCCCCCCCCCCCAGAATGGAGTTCTTAAGGGCCCTGGTGGAGGTGTCTACAGTAGCTTGGGGTGGGGGTTGGCTGTGTGTTTGTGTGTGTGTGTGGGGGGGCAGCAGGTATTGAATCTGCAGTAATGTGCAGTTGTCATGTAGTTTCTCAGGGATACTCTGAGACAACAGACACATACACACTCTCCAAGCTCCAAGCACCAGGCTGGGGAGTAGAAGTGTGTGTATGTATGTGTGTGTGTGTGTGTGTGTGTACATGTTTTTGGGCACTGGGGTGGAGGAGTGCGTAGCTCTATGTGTTTGGGTGACTGCTTAATTAGCATCGGGGTGGAGGGAGCAAGTGTAGCTGTGTGTGTGTGTGTTCGTATGTGTGTTTCGTCTTTGGATGGGGGTGACTGTAGCTGAGCACCGGGTATGTGGTGCGGCTGTGTGGCGTGTGTGTGCGTCCGTGTCCGCGTGTGAACATGGCCCCGGGAACCACACACATGCTTCAGACAGCTGTTTCTGGCAGCCCTGGGGCTCGGGCTTCTCCGGGCACCCCCGCTAAGTGGCCACCTCCCAGCAGCCAGGCCCCGTGTCTCGCCGGCTCTCCCAACTGTGCCCAGGGCCCCGGCGTACACACAAAGGCTCCATAATGAACGCGCTGCACTCCCCTGCACCCGGCTCCTCACCCTGCACCCCCCCGCCCCCGGCGGCCAAGGCGAGCCCGCTAAGCCGGCGACTCTCGGGGCAGTGGGCACGCACCCCGCCGCTCCCCCCGCCCGCCCAAACTCCGGGCGGCCCGACGCTCGGCGCCCCCCAGCCTGACCCCGGCTCCCGGGGGCGCCCAAGCGCCCGTCGCCACCGAGCCGGCCCGGGGCGGCAAGCTCCCGCCGCGACCCGCCCCTGGCCCGGCTGAGCCTGCGGGCGCGCCCCCCCCCGAAGGCAGCGCGCCTCTTACCTTCCTCCTCCGCCTCCTCTTCCTCCTCTTCCTCCTCCTCCTCCTCCTCCTCGTCGTCGTCGTCGGCGGCGGCGGCGCGGTGGCGGCGGCGACGGCGGCGGGACTAGGGCGCCCGTGTCCCCGAGCCCGGCACGGGCGTGGGGCTCAGTGGCGCCGGGCGGCGGGGCGGGCAGAGGCTGGCGGGGCGGCAGCAGCTGGCCCGGGACACGGGGAGCTGGCGCGCAGGCGGCGGGCTGCGGGCAGGCTGGCAGCGGCGCGCGCGGGCTCCTCGGGCGGGCTCCATGGCTGCGCCGCGGGCGGCACCATCGCCGTGGCTCGCTCGTCGCTCTCTCGCTCCAGGAGTGCGGCAGGCGGCGAGGTGACGGCTGGCCGCGAGGCGGCCGGACGGCCGAGGAGGGGAGGGGAGAAGGGGCGGGGGAGGGGGCGGGGAGGGGGCGGGGGAGGGGGAGTGCAGAAAGAGGGGCCTCTCCGGCGCCTCCCGACCCTCGAGTGCTGGCGTCGGTTTCCCCGAATGGGAACGCGGCTTAAAGGCACAGCTCCCGGCTCGGGTCACAACTAAAAATAAGCGCAGAATTGACAATTGGGGAAAGGATCTCCCAAGACACAGCCCAGCAACCCAGCCACCCCAGCCCGGCGCGGCCTCACTTCTTGAACCTGACGGTTCGGTGGGGCTCTGCCGGGAACTGCTGGCAGCTAACAGGGCAAGCCGATTTCCAAAGTGAACCCGGGAAAGTGCGGGGGTGGGGGTGGGGCGCGAACTGCGGAGAAGGGGCGACGGGAACGCTCGCTTAGGGGCTCCATTCCTTGGCCCCTGACCTTGCCTCCCCGAGCTCCCTTTGTCCCCTCCCTCCCCCCTCCCCCCCCCCCCCCCGGATTTGCTCGCCTTCCGCTGGGGTTGCCTTCCCTGCAGCTCCGCTCCGGGTCACCACTGTCAACATCCACACGCACCTTCTTGAGTTTCGGCTCGGCTCCTGCTCGCAGCGTCTCTTGCCCAGCCCTGGAGTGCGAGCTGTTTCGAGCCCAGGCCCAGCCCGGGAGCCCACCCCAGGAAGAGAACGATCTGCCAGCGGGCAAAGGTCCGCTTAGAGCTTGCGGTCGGTTTGGTGAGAGGGGAAGGAGGTTAAGGTTTGTGTGCATTTGTGTTCACCAGCAGATGCTGGGAGGGTCCTGCGCAGACACCCAACCCCCCACCCCCGAGGAGAGTAGCTAGGCACATAGCACAGTGCCTGATGAATGATCTCAGGACATTTTTAAGAGACACGCCGTGAATACTAAACATGTAGCAGCCAAGATTCAAGAAAGGCTCTTGGTCTCCTAGCTGCCTTCAGACCCCTCTGGAGGAGTTTTAGGGACCAAGAAAAAGGCCACTCTCTCTCTCCTGCAAAGGACAGCCTCAGTGGGGACCCAGGGGGACCGGGAACTTGGACCACCGGTCTGGGAGGGTGAAGTCGAGGCCAGGGAAGAGGAAAGCAGAAGGAAGCCAGCGGTGGAGTTGAAGAGGCACTAGAGATGCCAAATGCAGAGTGAATTTCCCAGTGTCAGGGGCCTTTTGGAGACAGAGCTAAGTGACTGACACATTCGGGCCTCTGCAGTTCTAAGGTGAAAAGTGAGCCCTCCTCAATTTCCCCTCTGTGCTTGGACTCTGGGAGGGAGGCTGTTAAGAAAAGGGGACTCATCCCATTTGGAATCTCTTCCTCACCTCCAGTTCTATTTCAACAAGAGAGGCTGGAGGGCTCCTGAGGGGCCATCGTGGGGCAAGAGGATGGTCTCCGTAAGCTGTGTGGAATTTCCAGGATTCAGGAGAAGAGCTCCCGGGTGCAGGGCTCTGTGGTCCCCCTGCAGCTGGGATCAGCAGTGGAGTAGCTGACTCGTAGATTTGGCCATCCATCCAGTGAGCACACTTTTGCTTTCTTTCCTGGCACTTCCTACCTTGAAAAAAGGATGGAAATTCCCTGCATCTGGATGGGGGTAGCCCAGGCTGGGAAAACAAGCCGATGGAATTATTAAAGACGGATGGTGAATGAAAATAAAGACATGCAGAGAGGAAAACACATAGTATTCCTGGCAAATGCACAGGCAGACCTGCACACAAGAAGATGCTCTGAGGAATACAACACACACACACACACACACACAGACATACACACACAGGGACTCACACACACGGAGTCACACGTAGGACCATGGAAATACTGAGCTAGTACAGAAAAAAAAAAAAAAAAGTCTAGCCAGAGAAGTGACTCAGACTTGATTTCTAATCCTTCCAAAAGAGAGAGGTGACGAGAAGCAGGGAAGAGTTGGCCTCCTGTCTCCAGGGATTGGAGAGGGAGCCGGGAACCAGCTGTCCGGTATGAATAATGCTATTTGCAGGCAGACAGTTCCTGGCTGGCTTCCTTGGGATAATGTCTGGGGAGGGGGGAATCCCCTCCACAGTCCCCTGATCCTTACCCTGTTTTTTCCTTATTAATATTAATAACACAGACACCAACAAGTTGGCTTGTATCAGTGCTTACAATAAAACTCGACGGGTTAATAACTAAAATAAATGCATTTTATGATTCCGATGAGCTGTCTTCTGCTGCTTGCTGGCCTCCCTGAAAGCATATGCCCAGTCTCCAGTCAGTCTGCTGTGTGCTAAACGAAAGTAAAGAAGGGGTAATGGAGGGGGAAAGAGTATTGGGAGGGACTGTGTCTCTGGACAAATGCATGCACCGGGCTCCTGGGGGACCAGCAAGGCACTGTACAGTTTAGAATAGTGATGAAGGGCACAGCTTTTGGAATCTGTTTCTTATTAGAAGGGTGATTTTAGGTAGGTCACTTAACCTCTCTGGACCTTACCGGTGGGATGGAGATGATAGAACTTCACTTGTAGATTTAGCCAGAGTACTCCATGAGAAAATGGATACAAAAGGTCTCCGTAAATGGGAGCTATCCTTTTTTCTCAAGACCAGTCGGCCACCTCATCAGCTGCTGAAAGGCTCCCCGTTTTTGTTCTCATTCTGCTTCATTCCAGTCTGAAGTGATGTAGCATTTGCATTGTTTCTTGCTCTTGGGCAAAGTGAGTTCTTCAGCCTGTGTGCACATGGGCTGACTTCATTTCCAAAGGGAGATCTTCTGCCCGCCCGCATTCCCCCCCAAACAGAGAATCACAAAGGTAGGCTTTTGTTTTGTTTTTGTTGTTTGGTGAGCTGTGTGCCCTCTCTATGCTCAAGGTAAGAAATGAGGGAGGAGGGAGAGCGGGAGGCAGGGTACACAGAGGGTTCCTCAACATTCCTAACCCTGCACCAAAATGCAGCAAAATAAACACTCGTGTGTCGGTCGTCCTGGGACCCTCATTCCAGCCACACTGGAATTTAGTGAGGACGATTCCCTCCGGGTAAGAATTCAGTCTTCTCCATCTCATGACAATCGGATGAGGAATGAAGATCTTCCAGCCAGAAGTCTATTTCCTATTAAAATCGATACATTGAAATGATGCTAATAAGTGGCATTATTTTTCTCCCCTGCGCACGGAGAGCGGATGGAGGCAGCCCAGCCTCACTGGCACCTTGGACTGTCATCAGCACTTAACAACCAAACAACCAACTCCCCGTTAACTGGGGATCCAGGGATAAATGGACAGAGTCTCTCTTGGCCTCCAGTAATGACAGTAATGCTGACTACCGTTTATGGACCCATCATTCAGCGCGGGGCGCTCTGCTACCGTTCCTAGGAAAAGGAGGACGGTTCTTCATCCCAGGGGATACAATTAGTTTCACTCCCCTGGTAGGACCTCCAGCCAGCCCTGAAAGCTTTACATGCATTAACTCATTTCATGATCACCACAACCCTCGTACTTAGGGAATTTCATCATCCTTATTTTACAGCGGAGAAAGCCAAGACTCACATAGCAGTAAATGCTGGAACCTGGACTCTAACCAGGTAATGACAATCAATAGTAATAATAGTTATGCTTGCTAACTTTTATTGTGAACTTATTAGGGACCAGGCACTGTGCGGGCATCTTGCATGCATTATCCCATGTAATCCTCACAATAAATCCGAGAGGATAGGTACTATGATTGTTACTATTTTGAGGGAAAACGGAGACTCAGAGAGGTCAAGTAATCTCCACAAGGTCACACAGCTAGTCGGGCCTAAAGCAGGACTTGAACCCATGCCAATTTGACTACAATGGGTGTAATGTCTCCCAAAAGGCTGTGACTCCGAGCCTTTGGTTGGGGTTACACAGCAGAGATAGGCTGCTGGCATTTTCTGGAGACATACATAAGCTGCCCGCCTCTGGAAAAGATGAATAAGTCAAAAGCCGGGTACCGCTGATGGGTCATGGCCAGAGTATGGAGCGCATCTGCCTAAGGCAGCCAGCGGACTCCCTGGGTGGCTGGGCAGGCCCTGGGATGGTGGGAGGGATGGATTAATCGGAAAGATCAAGGAGGAAACCTCCTTTATAATTGTCAGCCCCCAGCCTTTTATGCTCCATCTTGCCTTTCAGCAAGACACCTGCCCATCCTAAAGCATCTCAGGCCAACCAGGCCCCTGGTGTTTGGGACAGGGTGGGTGGAGGAAAAGGGAGGGGAAGCTCCCAAGTTCCTGAGCTACTGGGGAAACTGGGAGCTAGCAGGAAAGCGAGATGACACAGAGAAGTCCAGAGAAAAATGGAGGAGAAAAGGATCACTTCCAAGGATTTGTCACCAGGAGGAAGGACAAAAGGCTGGCCAATTATGCTAAGAAGGCTTCTTGGTAGCCCTTTGTGGGCAAGCCCAGCAGGCCCACCCGGTGTGGGCTGGGAGACGCCCAAGGGAACAACTCCAGCAGGCAGGGCCATGAGCTGCAGACGGCCAGCCAGCCCTTTCCCAAGCCTGGGCTGGCTGCTGCCCTCCAACACAGCTGCTCAGCGGGCCGTGCTGCCTGTTAGTTGTGTGGGTCCCCCCTAGCTCCCAGCTTCCCTGTCTCTGTTACTGCCCCCCTTCCCATACACAGCTTGCTAGGGAAGCGCCCAGTCATAGGAGGGGGATCCCTATGTCAGAACTGGGGTTCATCCTACAGTCGTGCCCTGTGGCCAGATGCAGTCACTCCGTTCTTGGCTCCTCTCTGGGATTTGGGGTCAGAGGGACACTATTTGCATCGATAAGGCCCAGGCCTCTTTAGCGTTCCTGGTTCCTGGTCCTTTAGTCTTCCTTGTTCCTGCTCCTCTCACTTACCTAGTGAGAGATGGGTGGAATGAGATTTCCTTCGGCATCCCACACGCACCTCCCCTCAATAAGCCCCCTTTCCCCCCCTAGATCCTCTTTGAGTGCTCTCCCCTAGACAGCTCCCCCATCCACATGTATCCATCCCTTGTCATAGCCCTAGATAATCCCATACTAATCTGTACTTAGGTAAACACAGACCTTAATTGGCAATGCTTCTCAAGCGTTCACACACACACACACACATT